TAAGTCATTAAAAGTCTAGCCCAAAAAATATTCCATTTAATTCTCTGTCATAAAACAGTAAGGTGTGACCGAGTGTCACTGAAATTCATACGACCAATCAATTAATTAATACACATTAATTAAATTAATAAAGAATTATATAAGTTGGCATACATACACGAAGAAAATTAAATAATTATAATTATTTAATTATCTCAGAGTAATTGAATAATATATTGCAATAAATAACCATAAATTAAAAACAATAATTTAAACTGTAACTGAATTTTCGAGGATTGAATGTAAACGAAGCGTGTAAATAAACCTTCAAGTCCGGTTACGGGTTTCTAATCCCCCGTACCGCGTTGACACGGAAAAGTACATTACTCACTAGGATGTGTCGTTCATATTGGGACCCGAGCTAGGTACATCCCAGGAGACATTGCGATAAATTTATACAGATCTAAATTAAAAATGCAGGAAAAATAAACTATCAAACATATCGAGCGTTTTGCACTCGACAAGTTTCCAAAGCTTTTTGGGAGTTTGAAGAAGAGAAATCTGTTAAAATATAAATCAGAAAAATTTTTTGCTATTCAGTTTGCAGGTTTTAATTAGTGTTAAAGTGTAAAAAGAGAAAGAAAAGCTTGTAATATTATTTTTAAAATTTATGGTTCGTATTTTCTTACCAAATTTCAAAAACGTAATAGTAAAGTTAGTTCAATAGCTTATATATATGAAGTTTTTGAGTTGACTCAGGTGGGACTATAGTGTTATTTAATTTTTGGAGCGCCAAAGCACTATGTATAAAAAATTTGTATTTAGGACCTTCACTATCAATAATAATACTTTTGACTTTTCAAAAGTAACTCATGTTGAATTCGAAAAAATTTTAATTGCTATCGTTTTAGTGAAAAAGAGAATATTATAAGATCTTCTATACTCGCACGGAGAGTAAAAGTATAGAAGTAAACGGCTTATTGCTATATGTCATACATACGGGAGCGAGAATAGTAAATAATACGGAAAGCCGCGACTCGGAGTGGTTATACACTGTGGAGAACTATTACCCACTCATGTCGCGTGTGCTCCTTCTCGCTTTCCATATATACGCTTTTTATTTTTTAGCTGCACAGAGACAGATACACTAGTACGAGATGAAGTAGAAGAAGAGCGGGGTTAGGTGCGACGTATATGCAAGTGTGGTGTATGAACCAAGGGTTATATTTCAAAAAGAAGGGACGGCCTCCAAGGGGTCGTGAATACCTTAATAGACATAACGTATATCGTTCTTGTCTGGTATATATGCTCTAAAACGCGCTTGTCTTTTTATGATTCTATAAGACTTTCTTTTATTATACACTCTTATGTATATACAAATATATGGGTCATAAACATTAAAAATTAAATGAGTGCGATTTTTTATTTAACTAATTTGAATGTTATAAATTGTTTTTGTTAGCGCAGAGATAAGGTTTTATTTAGTAATTATAGTATTATAATGAGCCAACAAGAACGTGAGAGGGTGGATTAATGTACTTTAATTTAACAGTTACTCATGAATTTAGTGTTAATAGTTATCGACTGGAGGTACATTGATCTTAATCCCTGAAATTAACAACCAAGGAAATCAATTTTTCAAGCGACTAGTTTTTTTTTTAATAATTTTTTTATTTTCGGAATATTTCTTTCAACCAAATTAGTGTTTCATCTCTGTTGATTCTTTGTATATCTTAAAAACTAATTAATGGAGACTAATTAATATGGCCAGATATGTAAATTGTTTATAGAAGGCCATCCCGTGAAAAATTTTCTGATAGGTCATATATGGCTTTTTTAGTCTATTTATGAAAATAAAAAAATAATTTACAATGAATTGAATTTACTTTCAAAGTTGCGATTATTCATCTAACTCTCGTTAGCTTACGAGTTTTCAAATATAGATAGGATTGCATTGATCTAATACGATAAAAAAAAAAAATTCGTTTCGATTAATAGTGATAATATTAATGAAAAATTTTTATTCACAGTACTAGACCAATATATGAATAAACATGACTGAAATTGGCGTCAAAAACTCTCTTCAATAATTAATTATAATTTTTTATTTTTTCTAGAAATGTTTACGTCATTTATTATGGCAAATTAAACAAAAATTGATTTAATATTTGATGAAATTAAGAATCAATGTCAGATTAGCTTTTTAAACAACGTTTCTGAAACAATGTTTTGTAATAAGACGATTCAGCGATCATGCGCATTCCATCAAAGATTTTTAACACTACACGGAAAAAAGTAAACTGTAATAAATAACAGTCAATTTATAATAAGTAATGATCAACTGCTAAAAATTACCATTTCAAACAGTAAAATTGTGATTTTACTATTCACTTTATAATATTTACCATTTAAACGTTACAATTTACTCTTTACATGGAAGAAAATGTACCTAAAAATGATCTTATGATATGTAAAAAGTATAAAATAAAGTTAGTAAATTTCTAATACAAGCAACGTCAATATTTACAAAGTAAAATGGTAAATTTTAAACGCAACGCTAAAAATCAAACTGTAATTATTGACTTTTGCTTGGACTGGTAAAATGCATATATTTTAAAAGTATAATTTTTACTGTTTCAAATGTTAAATTCTCTCAGAGTGAGACCCCCTTCTCTTTCATCTGAGTTCCTCTTCTCCTCATAATATGTACTATATATTGAAATGGCAATTTTAACTGTTTGAAACTGTAATTTTTTAAGATGAAAGAGTCGTTATTTACTATAGTGACAGCTACTAATCACTTATTTTGGATATTAAATTATAAATTGTGGCTTTTATACTTTCTACATTATGTTCTGTAATATTTATATTTTTGCCACCCCGATGTCCGTTTTACTGTTTGAAACTATAAAAATTAACCGGAATCCGAGTGAATATTACAGTTTACTTTTGTCCGTGTACTTTTGGATGAAAAATCAATTAAAAATAAGCACACGTGACCATATCCGGCCTAATACGGGCATATCAAGCAATATAAAAAAATTTTTACTCGTCAAAATTAATCACCTCAAAATTTATTTGATCAGGAACAACTTTAAAAACTAATATTGCTATTATCAGTTCGTTAGTAAAAAAAATTACACACAACAGAAATATAATTTATAAAAAAGTATATTGACAAATTGTACATGTCAAAAGTGAATCATATCAAATATCTCAAACAATAAAACAAAATAATAAAATCTTAGTATATTGAATAAAAACAATAAAAGTTGATCACTTTAACCAAAGTTATTTAATAACTCTCATCTCAATTACTATCAATGGGAAGTGATGATTATAACTTGAGGGTTTGGATTGATTTTCCCTGTAGCAAGCAGTTAATCATCACCCGTTTCAGTCTTCTATCTCGTGTCTTGGGCCCCTAACCAACTGCATAGCTTCGAAAACACGTAAAGATACCAGTGGGTTAACTATACTGGGTTATAGTTACGCTAGTAGACAAAGACAGACAGACAAACAGATAGTTGAGAGTACAAAGTGTAAGCGAGAGAGAAAAACATGATCTACTTGCCTTCTCTGGTATATAGCATACTCTCAGCTCAATTAATCTTACCCAGAATGCAATAACTGTCCAATCTGCCCTGTTGGAAGCTCGCGCGTGGGTCATTGTGTGTCGTGGCACAAGTTGCCACGCCATCTTCCTAACCAGCCGAGTTATCTCAAACTCCTGGTTCTATTCACTAAAGATAAAACTTCTCCCATCTCTCATACTCCATCTAATTCTCTACTCCTTGTCCTCCGCAAACTCTATTTGTACTACTCTGTCCCATTGAAATGGCTGCGCCCTCTGTCGTTAGCGTCCTAAATCAAATGCTAATGTCTAAGCCTCTTGAAAAAACGGCAAGACGTATAGTATACGAGGAAGTAAACCGGAAAATCTCAAACTACTTGAGAAAATGAGACTCAACATATTTGTCCGGAGAATGTACTTCCCTTAGTACGTGAAGAGGGCGAGTTAAATCTATATAAGGGTCCATACAACATTACTTTGCTGGCCTAAGATTGTTTCAACGCATCGTCAACCTTTTCCACTGCTGCTTCGGAATATTAGGGAGCGAAAACATATTGGATCGTTAACGATGGGGCAGTTTGCCTAACTAGTAACTACTGCCGTTTATTCCCTTTCTCATTAAGCTTTTTTTCCCTTTTGTTTGGTCTTATTTTTTAATTTAAAAATTCTAGTAGTTTACTACGACAGTCGTCAACAACTGATTCTAAAAAATTTACTTTTTTTTCTTTCAGTTGCATGTTTAATTGCTGTTCACACACATAAACTTTTTTTTTTTTTTTTTTTTTTTATTAAAATAAAGACAATTATTTACTAGCGACTTCTGTAAATTTTTTTTTCACAATGGTAAAAGTTTTTTTATTCCGACTTTATCACTATTGAAAAAATAATGATTAAATGTACATAAGTAATGTATAAAAGTCAAAATAATAAATATATTCAAAAAGTTTAAATGCTAGTTTAAATATTAAATAAAATGTATGAAAAATTTTTCTACCTTCTTTCACGAATTTAATTCACATTATGAAAAAAAGCTTCATGAAAATTTATGGAATATATTGCTCTATGCAAATTCTCAAGCTTTAATACAGAGCTGGAAAATTTATGTGCATAAAAATTACCTCAAAGCTCGTGAGTAGAGAAAAAAATAAATAGATGTTGTTGAGACTCCGGGGAAGTAAAAGAGGTAAAAAAAGTATCTGAGGTTAAATAACGGTCTGATATCTATATAGATACTTTAAATATATTATTGTCTAATAATATGTATGAATATTTAAACAAGTAATATTTACAAATTTTAACAGCGTTTATTTTTGTTTATAATAATCATTAATAATGACAATAATAATAGTATTAATTAATAATTAATAGTGAAATTCTAATTACAATAATTACATAATTATCGATAAATGAAAAAACTAAATTATATTTTTATTTTTTTTTCTGGGTTTTAAATAGGCGAGACATTTATTAAATGCCGGAAGATAAATTTAAAGCTGGAAGGAATTTTTCTATTCATCTCGCAATACTTAATTAATATTAACTAATATTTATAATTATTTATATATTTTCACTTTATTATTTTTAATATTATCTGTTATAATAATTGTTAATGCCGCGTACAGAATATGTCATTATTATTATTATTATTATTATTATTATTATTATTATTATAATTATTGGTATTATTATATTTATACATATGTAGAACTTAATTGATTTGTAAGAGATATTTATCAAATATTTACATTGTCTTACGTCACTTTCAAAAGTACGTTATTGATATTTTTTTTTTTTGTTTAGTTTTATATTATGTTAATTTTTTTTTATTTTACAATACAAGTTTTTTAATTTTATTTTTTTTTCGTCGAGAAGAGAGAAATTAGCTATAAAAATTTTTCTTTCTTGACAATTTTTAACAATTAAAGTTGATTATTGACTTTCGAAATGAAAAACAATTTGGTTAATCAATGGTAAAATAATTTTTTCAAAAATTATTAAAATATATATGATTATTTTGTCTCAGGTTGACTGGTCCAATATTACCCGAGATTCCAAGATAATTTTTTGCAAATATTCTCTCGGTAAATACGTAAGTAAAATTAAATTTTATAAACAATAAATATTTTATTTTAGTGAATAAAAATTTTTTTTAAAATTAAAAAAAATTAAAATAATCGAATTTATATAAACTCGACAAAAAAAATCACAATAACAAAAAAGTAACTAAACATCTTATTATTAATTTATGAAATTTCGTTTCATATTTAAAATGAATTAATAATTTATTGATAACAAAACTTAATTTTAAAAATCCTAACTTATTATATTGTTCATTATTAAATTTAATTAGATAAAAGAAAGTTCAGAGCATACAATTAATCTTTGGTTATCGAAGTAAGCATCAAATTTCACACTAGTTCTATAATTTATAAAGATCACTTGTGTCGATAGAATTTGATCCTGACAACACATTTTAAATTTTATATTTATTATTTAATTGCAATGATTTATGATACAGTGATAATTATCTAGATAATTAAATCAATATTATCATAATTATTATTAGTATTATTATTATTATCATTTTTACTGTTATTTATCATTAATCATTAATAAAGAATCTACTGAATCATTGATGAATTTGCTGCAACAATATTATTCTGAGTGATATTGACAATGGACACTCGATGTGAAACCGTTGGTAAATTTGCGGTCCCTAATTCGGCGTGCTGCGTTTCCCGGTGCCTTCTGAGATCGACTTTACGCTGAAACGCGCGATTGCAGAGCTCGCAAGCGAATGGTTTGTAGCCTGTATGCTTCCTAGAGTGAGTTATTAGATTGCTGCTTTGAGAAAATGCTTTCCCGCATACCTGACACTTGTGGGGTTTTTCTCCTGTAATTAAATTAAAAATAAACATTATTAGTTATTGAAAAAGATGTAGGATTTATTTTTTAGTATGAAACTTAATTTCAATCATAATTTTAAATATTCAGCCGTCCCGAGACTCGTCAGTAGAACAATCGATTTTGGTTCAGACAAAACATTAACTTTTAAAAATTCACAATTTTGAATTGTTAAACGAAAGTTCTAATTTAAACAAGTCTTACCGATATTCTACATTGTTTATAACGTGAGCGTTTAATTATTTACATTAAAATTCATAAATAATTGGCTTAATTGATTAATTTTTTAATGTTAACAATAATACTAATGGCGACTGCGAAATATTTTGGTAAAGTTCGACTTTCAAATAAATTAACACTTTAATTTTTAATGATAACGTAAAATATTGACAGAGTAGACGTGGATTGATTATAGAGAGATGATTTTTCATTTGTTTAATCATGCAATAAAATATATTGTGACAAATAATTTTAAAAGCGCTCAAAAACTTTGCCTATTATTATGAAGTCTTGAGCTTTTAGAGCTCACAAATACAACTCTTATGCATATTTAAGCTCAAAAATCTGGAAGTTGTATTGGTAGAACACTTATTAGAAAAGTTTGAATTGTTCTAAATATAAAAAGATGATTTATTTCTAAAAACTGATTCGATTAGAAATTTAAAAGTTATGTGAAAAATGAATATTTTTTTCGAAATTTTTTTACAAATTTTAAAGAATTTCTTTGTTTTAAATCAAGTAAAAAAGTATTTGGTTTGAAAAATTTTTCTCTCAGTTCAAAATAATCACACGGAAAAAAGTAAACTGTAATAAATAACAGTCGATTTATAATAAGTAATGATCAACTGCTAAAAATTACCATTTCAAACAGTAAAATCGTGGTTTTACTATTCACATTGTAATATTTACAATTTAAACGTTACAATTTACTCTTTACATGGAAGAAAATACTATTTCAAACAGTAATATTCGCTATGTAAATGTCTAAAATGTTAAAGTATAATAATTAAGAATTCAGACTTTGATATTCATCATTTCGTACCTAAAAAAATGATCTTATGATATGTAAAAAGTATAAAATAAAGTTAGTAAATTTCTAATACAATAAAATGTATATTTTAAAACTATAATTTTTACTGTTTGAAATGTTAAATTCTCCCAGAGTGAGACCCCCTTCTCTTTCATCTGAGTTCCCCTTCTCCTCATAATATGTACTATATATTGAAATGGCAATTTTTACTGTTTGAAACTGTAATTTTTAAAGATGAAAGAGTCGTTATTTACTATAGTGACAACTACTAATCACTTATTTTGGATATTAAATTATAAATTGTGGCTTTTATACTTTCTACATTAAGTTCTGTAATATTTACATTTTTGCCACCCCGATGTCCGCTTTACTGTTTGAAACTATAAAAATTAACCGGAATCCGAGTGGATATTACAGTTTACTTTTTTCTGTGCAAATTGAAAATAATTTTTGACATTTATTTTTAAAGAAATGAAAGAGATTTTATTTTTGAAAAGATCAAAAATTTATTCAACTTAATGTAAAATTTTATTACCGAAAATAAAATTTGTAAAGCATAATAAATAATTTATAGTAAAAAATATCCGAATTATAACAATTTGATGCTCTTTTTAAAGGAATTGATTTCGCAAGTTTAGTTTCAAAGAATCAACGTTAAAAAATCATTTGATAAGTTAAAAACTTTTGTTAATAAATCATGGTGAAAAAAAGTGTAGTGTATCAATCAAAGTGATTTGAAAATATCGGTATCGAATATCGAGATTTCCGAGATGTCAATTGCAGAAAGTTCTCGCTTGGGAATAGTTATAGAGGGTTATATAGAGTAAGATGGCTGGCACTTGCGTTGAATCCCAGTTCAAGTAACACGCTAAGATATATATATTTTTTTAGATCACATGTATATATATATATATATATATATATATATATATATATATATATATATATAAAATAGAGTAGAAGAAGATGATGAAGAAAGAGAAGAAGAATAAAAAACAGCATAAAGATAAAGATAAAATAAAAAGAAGTTGGTAAAAGCACAAGGGGTTGGTAGTATCGGGGATGCGGGGCACGCCCGGTCAAGATTTCCTCCCAAGCGAGAATCACAGCCAGCCCTGCAACGAGTTTACTTTCTCTCTTATTCCCATTCCAATTTTCCGGGATACGGGGTTGTTTCTCTCAGCCCAGTAACACTCGGTGGGTGAAAATCGTGGGCGAAAATGCAGCCAGCAGTGGCATTGAGTGAGATAGTACAGTGGTACAGGAGAGACAGAGAGAGATAGATGTACAATGCGATAAAGAGAGAATGAAACGGAGAGAAGAGGGTAGGTTGAAAAGGGTAGAACGTTCGCCGGTCGTTTCTCTCATCTCGGCCACGAGAGCTCTGATTGGTGGCCGGGGGCGGCTCTAACCCCCCGTTACCATAGCGACAACGAATGTACCTGGGGCGAGTTCACGAAAAGAGATAGACAATGAAAGCACAAGTTTATTATCCTGGTGATGAACAAAGAGAAAATTCAAATGAAAAGGAGGAAAAACTCAAAGCTTTGGAGTTAATGGACTTTTTACAACTATTTTTCGTTTTCATCTTCTTTTCCTATTTTACTTTATTCATTTCTTTTTTTTTATTCATTTTAATTTTAGTTTTTTGGCAAACGTTCGATTCCCAAACGCGTAACAGCGCCATCCATAGGCATGTAATAGAAAAAAAATCCGCAACAGAACGCGCCGCCATAAACAACTAGTTAATCGAACCTACAATCTCGCCGATGCAAGCCCACCTACTATTACCAATCGATTTTATCGGTGAGTTTTATTTTCTATCACGTTTATTTCAACAGCCTGTAATAGTTTTACAGGTACACGAGCGATACAAAAAATATCGTCACCGAATAAAAATCCTATGTGGAGAATTTAGAGTTAGAAAACTACGCACGCGCAACCCCTTATTTGTAAGTGGAAAACAAACAATTACATTTTACGTGTCATCAGAAAAGAAGAAGTATTTTGAAATAAAATAAGACAATAGGAAGAAGCAAGAAAGCAAAAAAAAAATAGACGTAAAGGTAAGCCAAGACAAGTGAAAGGAGAACGAAGACTCCTAGGAATTTACGAGCTCGTAAAAATCAAGAACCGTCCGAAGCTCGCACCGAGGTTACCTCTATCTTCTCTTTATCTCTGCAAGAAACTTATACTGCACACACTACTTTCTTTATTTTCTACCTTTTCTTCTTTATTCTCTCTAGCTTTAGTTCGTGATTCATCGTCTCGTCGAGAGCATATATTTACATGTACACAACATTTATTCTCATAAAAATAAGTTTATGGCATTTTTATATTTTTCTTCATAATTTTTTCGGTAATTATTAAAGACTAGTGAATATTTTTCACGATATGATGATTAAATAACGAATGTTCATTTTATAATGCAGAAATAAGACTAATATTTATTGATACTGTGGAAAAAAAATATCTTTCAGTAATAGATATTTGTATTCACTTAAGGCAAAGTACCCAGTACTTGAACACTTCTAAAAATGGGACCAATAGTTAAACAGACTTTTAGAATTGTTGTAATACAAAATCTGTGTATATATTATGAGTAATATGCGCATGTTATAATTATTCAATGATATAGTAATTGATTTTGGTAAGTTTTTTCAATTATAAATCAAAAAAATTACATTTTTGTTAACTTTAAAGTTGACATGTCGAGAATAACCGATAGATGCTATTTTTTTCATGAAAAAGGTACTAAACCGTAAACCGAACAATCAGTAAAAAAATGGTATATCATCATTCTAAGTGGAAAAAATTGTACCACCCAATGAAATAGTCTTTTCTAAATAATACATATTTTTTACAAAGACATAAACTATAATTTTTATATTAAATTTTAGCGTTCAACTATACCTCCCAATTTTCAAAGCGGTACCCAGAACTTGAACCAGCTGGGACCATATAATTTTAACAGCACTCTAACCTTTAATAGGCTTATAGACTAGTGATCAGTATTGTGACTTGTATCAATTACTGCAAATTAAATAAGTTTTATATTGAAATACATTTGTTATACATTTTGAATTGAGTTTTTTTGATTTATAATTGAAAATTTACTTTGACATTCATAAAAAATGTAATTAAAAAATCAAATACAAATGTTTCTCATTTTTAAATGAACATATTAAATATCCACACTATTATTTTTAATATTATTCAATAATATGTTATAAATCTTTGAATCCCGGGTCAAAAAATTTAAACTGATTTTAAGCTAAATGATCTGCATTTGAACTTATTGACCTGTATTTGAACTTTTAAAAACATTTTCATCTGTATTTGATCTACTATTCAAATTATTTTTGATTGGTTTTAAGTCTAAATAACTTTTTAGACTAAAAAGTTTTAAAAGTTTGATCGGTTTTTATTCTAGTTATTAATTTGTAGATGGACTTTATATATTGTTTTCAAATTCAATATGAAATCTTATACTGTTTTTGATCTACAATTTTCACTCTGAATGTTCGAAGGCCAAAAGTCGACTAAGATGGTGACTTATAATTTTTTGGACTTAAAAGTATCTCATTAAAAATTATAAGTCGCATTTATTTGAAAAAATAAACTAATTTATAATATATTCATGCGCTCTCTTGTTTTATGAACTGAACGTCGATTATAACCTTACATCTGCTATATTTATTTGTCATAGCTTAATATTTCATGGATTATAAAAGTTTTGTAACTGCGAATATTAGTTGCAGTGATAACTAATAAATTTGTATCAACATACGTATAAAAAAAAGTTCTCATCGTTTGATTATGGATCGAAATCTAGAGTTTTCTAATTATCGATATTTAACACAATACATCGACAAGATTAAAATGCTGACAAGATGACAAGATTAATATTAAATTTTATACTTTCACGCATCATTTAATGAGCGGTATTCACTGTTTGGTAGTGCAAAGAATACCGTTTGGTATACATTGCACTACGAAATAGTGAATGGTCACTATTTCAGTTTCAGAGAATGAAAAGCCGTCCCCTGTAGAGGATCTTCGAGGACATGAATAAAATAATAATAAATAAATAAATAAATATATTATTATTATTATTATTATTATTATTATTATTATTATCAAATCCGTAAAAGGTCGGTTTTTGATCTACAGGCGATGAAAAACCGACTAAAAATTATGGAACGTTTTGGTCTGTTTTTGACCTTGATGCGATCAAAACCAGCTAAATGATTGTGACAAAAAAGTCTGATTTTGGTCATGAAACAATAGAAAACAATTTTATTGTAACATCAAAAATGATCTGAAATTGGTCTGAATTGGGAATAGTACGGGCAAAAACAGATTAAATTCTAATATAAAATAGATACACATAATAAAATTAAATAGAATGAAAAATATTAAAAATTTTCATTAATCGTAAAACAGATTAAATTTTTTGACCCGGGTAAATTATAAATATTCAATTATTTGTGTTATTTTGCACTTCAATCAATTCAAAATTGTTTATATTTTCATGAAAATCACTAATTTGAACTAATAATTACATCTTTATATATTAAAAGTAGGGTCAAATACGTTTTACTTTGAAACCTGTTCAACTACTGGGTACTTTACCTTATTATCATATTTTAATATGGTCATTCGTTTTTCACTACAATGTTATGCGAAATACTATGTTAATTATATTTATGTATGTATAAAGTTAGCGAATAAAACTTTGGGCACTCGTGTGTCGGCGCACACGCTTTGCTCGTTGTACCAACGCACCTAGAACCGAAAGCTCTATCCGCTCAATTAATTAGTTAAATTAAATTGCATCAATTTTTCTAAGAAAAACGTTAAAAAATGTTTTTTTTTTTTTTTTCATATTTTTTGTTAATAGCGAGAAACTTAAGTTTTAACATGACACTTTAATTTTTAAGTTTGTTAAATAATTAACGGAGATTCAGCCGTGCCAAAAGAAAAACCTTTGAGAAAAACGACATAGGATTTTAAAGTTTAAAATTGAAGTAAATTATTAAGAATTTTTTTATTCTAATTATTGCATCAGATAAATCATTTTGAGAATATAATATTTGAGAACCACGGAGACTTAAGACGCCATTACATGCCCGGAGCAGCGACCGCTATTGCCGCCCCTAAAACTATATTAAACTCCGAGAAATCTTAGGGATCGTCTACTCAAACTCAGGCGTCCTCTTCCCTCTTTCACCCTTTGTATGTCCTCAGAGTCTTTGCTTTTAGTGTTCGAAAAGTTTTATTACTTTTCAAGTAGCGAAACTCCTTAAACTTTTTCCATTATTTTATCCTGTGTCTCAGTAATAACTTTTTAAAAGATATAATTGTAGAATAAAAACTGAGAAATTGTTCAATAATAAGGATTAATTGTTAGAGAGGGTGAATAAAGTAGAGTTTATTTTGAAAAGTTTCTGACAGCTGAGATGAATATCTTAGATAATTTTAGATTAAACCGCCGACGTGATTTCAAGGGAAATTAATTTCAAGATTATTAACCCGTGTTCTCGTAAACCAATTGGTGGTACTTTGTTATACCCGAGTAGAGTTGAGGATCTTTGCTCCATCATCAATTTTCAACACATCAACCGAGGGCTGTATCATTTATTATTACGACGTAATTTTTAATTCAATTATAGTATCCGGTTCATCGCGTTTTAATTATCAGTTATTATTAAAATTATTTTTTTAATTATCATGCAGACATATATAGTCTTATATATCAAAAAATTTTAAAAACATTTTTTAAAAAATTTTTAAATTTTAATTACGAATGATTTAATTATAAGAAAAAAACGAAGTAAAGCTTATAAAATGTATGCAAAATTATTTATGATCATATGTAATTATGTAAGACAAAAAATGAAACATTAATCAAAAAAATTCAACAGTTTAAAACACAAAAATAGATAATTTAGGCAGTTATGATTATAATTTAATTAACATTTGATTTTTTCTTTTAAATTAATATATGCTCATGTATGTTACTTAAGGTAGCACTGAAATAAAAAATTAACTTCATTTAAGACAAATTTCATGAATCAAAAAGATTATTTTGAAGAATTTTTCTCTTGAATCAAGTTAATTTTTTTTTCGTATACCAAAAAAAAAAATACAAATGAAAAAATTTATTATAAATATTTAAAGCGCGGTATGTAATTAAATTACTTAACTGATACCGAGAATCGAATCCCAGTCTTCCGGGTACAAAAGGAAATTTTTTTCCGATTTATGATTTTATTTTCATTGAAAACGTTTAATGCCAATTAAAAATATAATCAATATTATATTGTAAAAAAATAATTGCAAATTATAAATTGTTTATATTACTTAAAGCAATTTTTGATTTTTAATATAAATTTTTTTTTTGAAAAAAAAAAATGACACTGAAGTTAGCAGACGTCTAAAAATTTTTGATTTTTTTTTTTTATTAAATTACAACCAAAAAAAATTTATAAAAAATTGCACTTATAGTTTTTCAAGTTTTTAACATATGATATTTTTTTTTATTGTTTAATTGAAATTTTTTCGATAAAAAATTTATAAAAATTTTGAAATGTCAGCTAACTTCATTTTCATTAAAAAAAAACAATTTAA